TTTAGATTAAAATCTTATTTTGGTTATTCCATTTTCAGGAGTTCCATCTGATCCATCATTCTCAAACCTGAGAACGTCAACATCTTCAGTTTGTCGATGCCTCTGTCTTCAAACCATACAACAACAAAGCTGGTCTCACTACTTTCTTGTAAAACTTTCCTGTCAAACTTTTGTCCCAAATAACTCGAGGGGGAAAAAAATCCACCCACTCCATCATGCCTAAACTCTCTTTACAATATTCCAWGTTTTCCTGGACAGTACCCCAAAGTCCTGCACCTTTGTGACCTCTGCTCCCATACCTACACCTCTCCTCTTCCACCTGTCTGACACTGTCCTGCTGTCCCATCATATGCTTTTTCTAAATCTACAAAATATGAAATTTTTTCTGACCCTCTCTGTTCTCCATCACCATTCTCAAAGAGAAGATGGTGTCTGCAAAGCGCTTTCTTGGCATTAAAAACCACACTGCTGCTCACAAGTAGTCACCTTTCATTCAAGTCTGGTGTCCACAAATCTCTTCCAGACTCACCCTTATTCTTAAAAATTGACACTTGAACTTCTTCATTCCTCTGGCATTTTCTCTCGCTCTCAAAAATACCATCGAATCACTCTCATCTTAGACATCACCATGCCTGCACTGATGCGTCATCAAGTCCAACTGCATTCATCCTCTTCAAATCTTCCTGGTCCGCATTTAAATCTAGTCTAATCTGTGAGAGGGTTGCAAACAAAACTAATTTATCCTCATTACTAATCATAGAAATTATTACATTTTCAATAAAACCATCATTCGTACAACAGATACTTGCATTTTATTCTTTTACACATTTATAAACAGTGCACTTTATCCATCTTTAACAGCACAGCGCCATCTGGCGGCTGAAAAAGTTCACTGCAGCTTCTGGTTCTTCAGCGTTTCAACCAGGGGAACTTGCGTCGAGCTCCCTCCTGGCCGGGCTTCTTCCTCTCTCTTACTCGGGGGTCAGGTGTCAACAAGCCAGCTAGGACAAGAAGAGAAAAGAAGTTTTCAAATGTTTTCTGGCATGTTGGTCGTCAGTTTAACCAGGTCAATCTTTCAGTAGTTCTTGTGGACAGAGTCTAGTTTTAGTAAAAACTGCCATACATGCAATACAGTTTAAGCCAAGTAACATTTAAGACCTTTTAAGACTTTTTAATGCCAAGTGAAATGAAATTTACGACCAATTTCGTAATAAACACAAATGACATTAACAAAAACTGGCAGAAATTCATGAATCAAAGTATTTTTGGTAGAAGTAATCAAATATTGTCCTGATGCATCTCAGTAATCCAGGTAAAAAATCAAAAAGAAAAAAATTGTATAGGTCTTCTAGACGGGTTCTTCTCTAATGAAACGTTTCGTCTCTCCTCCAAGAGACTTCTTCAGTCTGAGAGTTTCAGGCAAAATTCAGGCTTTTCAGCCCTGCCTCCGTGTGACTGATACTCACATCACATGGCAATCGTTGACACCTAATTAACACCTATTGTTAACAGGGGGTGGAGTGATACTGGCAATAGCAGCGCTGTAGGAGGGGGACAACTGAAAACGGAGGCCTCCACCTCTGTTTAATGATGGACGGTCTTTCTTCACAAAAATGGCTTCTTTTACACCTCTCTCAAACCAACGTTCCTCTCTATCAAGAATGAGAACATCCTCATCTCTGAAATAGTGACCGCTGGCCTGTAAATGAGTGAAAACTGCAGAGTTCTGGCCATTAGATGTAGCTCGCCTGTGTTGGGACATTCTTTTGAACAGTGGCTGCTTTGTTTCCCCGATGTATAACTGGTCGCAGTCCTCCTGGCACTTAACAGCATATACAATATTGCTGTTTGTGCCGGGGCACCGGATCTTTGGGGTGAACCAGCCTTTGCCGTAATGTGTTTTGGGGTTTGAAAGCCACTGGGACATCATGTTTAGAAAATAAACGTCTCAGTTTCTCCGAAACACCCGCAACATACGGAATAACCACTGGTTTGGGTCTGGGTTTGGGGTCTTCATTTTCACCTGAAGGTTGCATGGAATCCTGTCTGTGTTTCCTGTCTGCTTTCAGGAAAGCCCAGTCAGGATAACCACACTGCTCCAGGGCCTGTCGTGTGTGTGATTTCTCTTTCTGCCTGGCTCCTGGGTTTGTAGGGACACTGTCTGCTCTGTGGTACAGAGTCCTGATCACTCCTAACTTGTGTTCCAGTGGGTGGTGGGAGTCAAAACACAAATATTGGTCTGTGTGGGTGGGCTTACGATACACGCCAGTTTCCAACCGTCCTCTATCCAAAACCGAGACATCGCAATCCAGGAACGCCAACCTGCCGGTTTTTACATCCTCTCATGTGAACTTAATATTTTCATCCAGAGTTGATGTGATCAGTGAAATGTTGGACTTTTTTTTTCAAATATTGCTAATAGACCAATTGTTTTTATCCACATCAAACTGCTTTTTCATCAACTATAGCAGAAACATTCTTAGCAGTCAGTTTTAAACTTAATTTAATTTCTGGAGATCCTCTAACAAATCCAAAATTTGGAGTTTTAGGACCCACAGTGGGTTCTTAACCCCAATTTGCTGTAGATAAAACCTTAAAGTGCCTGTGACATCAAATGTTTGTAAGAAAAGTGAATGTATTTTTGCAAAGACAACATTATTAGCATATTACAAAAATAATTTCTCATTGCTCGGATGGACAATTGAGATATTTGCATGTGAAATAACAGGAAGTGATGTCAAAGAGGAATGTCTGCATGTGAATATTTAAAAAAATTAATGTTACAAATTACTTTAATACTTGAGATGAATTAGAGTCATCCTATTTACAATGTATTAACATTTGTAAGTCTTCTGAAAGACTAATTTAAGACATTTTAAGGCTGATTAAGGCCTTATTTTTGGACTGAAGCATTTAATGACTTTTAAGACTTTTTAAGGATCTGCAGGAACCATATGATGGATGTTAAAGCAACTTTTAAAGTACTTAAGATGGATATTCATCTAAGACTGGTTAATTTTCAAGATGGCCACCACGGCTAATACACCTGAATTTCCCTGTGCAGGACAATAAAATCTGTTTCTGTTTCTATTCTATTCTATTCTATTAGGCTGCACAAAAATGTCTATTGCTCTGTCTCATGGCAGGGGTTGCAGCACATGCAGACCACACTCTTCAACGTCTGAGTAGACTGAATATAACAGCTGTGAAATGAGACCCTCTAGTGTTTGGATGAAGTATGTTTGCATGACCTCATGGTGAGACATTTTACATCACATCACCCATAAAGGTCCAAAATTTAAAATGTGTTGAAATGTATTCACACGTCTTTTTCCCAGGAGTTACAACTTCAACGAATTCAATGCTTTTATTAAAAACGTTACATATAAATACACAAAAAACATYATTAATTTGAGTTTAGCTCCAGTATCAGCTCTATAGCTTTATGATAGTATTATGAAACTTTCTTTTAAAGCGGCTCCGGTTGCTATTTAGATTTTAATATATGTTCTGTTTAATTTTACTCATGTGGCGTTCACTGTTCATGTTCATTGTTACACATGGTCTGCTCAAAACGTGTATTGTACTTGTACAAAAGCCTGTATGATGTGTATAAATAAAACAATGGGGGAGGAAAGCTCCAGTATCAGTACTTGTAATTGCACGTTATTTAACATCTCACACAGCTTAAGTTTTATCAGCTGTCGCTAAATAATGTGATGTAACCTGCCTACACACTATAGAAGACTTTAACTCAAATAATTTTACAATCACTGAGCTAAAATTGATCCTCGACACACTATGAGAGTTGCATTAGATTGTGAATAACTGGGTTTGGCGTAAACGGCTAAAACTTCGTCTYCTCTTAGGATAAGATGTGAAATGTTCCCTCCGATCTGCTCATCCTGGGAGAGGTGAAACCTGCGCACCTTGTCTCATATGCTCCGCCTCCCTCTCGGACACGAAGCTGAGCAGTGCTCGGGAGATGGCGAGCCGCAGCGCCCCCGCCTGGCTCGACCTGCCACCGCCGCTCACGGTGCACTCGAGGTCGAAGCGGCACAGCATGTCCACGAACTGGAGCGGGAACATCAGCTGCTCTCTGAGCGGATGGGGGGAAGAGAAAGAGAGAGAGAAGAAATGACCAGCAGATAACAAAACAGGAGGCTGAAAAGCCCTGAGCAGGGGGGAGGKGGTGGAGCGGTGCTATTTAGCAGATAGTGGTATCGACGGAGGCTTAGCTAATTTAATGTCTGGTTGGGTGACTTTTTCAGACGAGCACAGAGGATCCGAAGCAGTGTGAAAAGCTTTCTTTTTACAATCTTAGAGGAACTTCTGACTCAGCAACACTCTGAGTGTGTCTGTGTTCTGGATGGCGTCTCAGCCTGAATGGCCTGCGGCTGCTGACAAAGTCAATTGTCACCTCTCTGCTCCAATTACAGCCCGTTCTCACACGGCGTGACAACACCAGCTCCGGACACTCACACACAGTCACTCAGCTGTGTAATTAACTCACTACAAGGAGATAAAAAAAAACAGGCGATGCTGTGAAGAGTGAAAAGCTGCTTTCTTTTTCTTTTTAAGGGAAGCAGGAACTAAAATGCCTCATGTCTTGCATTTTAAGGAAAATAATATCAGAATAAAATGCCCCACAGCTTACACAGCTACCTGTCTTGTGGCTCATGGAAGTACTGGATGAACGGCAGGCCGTTAATGGTGACGTTCCCTGAACCACAGTCCCGAAGAACAACAGATGATCTAGACGTCTTCCTCTGACCTGAAAGTGAACACAGATGAACCAAGTTGTCCTTTTCTCAAAATGTTTGCTAAAACCATAACTGTAAATATTAAAACAAGCTGAATGTTTTGGTTTTGGGGTGTATTTCCTGTCATTTTAATAAAATACAATTACTTTTAAAGCACATTACTGCTTTCCAGGACAAGCTGCAATAACTTCAGACATCATAAATAACGATCAAAGCAAAAAACATTACACCCTTCCAAAATAAAAGTTGAAATAAATATTTCAAGTCTGGTAAAATGTGTTAAGCTCAGTCTATGTGCATTCATTGAGATTTTTCTTTGATTTAAAGTTATTTTTATATGCATTTATTTATATTTGGCATCAGTTTGTCATTTTTTTCAATCTTTTACATTTGTTTTCTGAACTATAATGTTTTTATGTGTTTTAACTTAATTTCTTGTTACTTGTTAATTTGTTTGTGGCGGGAACAAATCACCAAAAAGTTAGCTTTACTAACTCATATGCTAACTAAAAATATAGCTTTGCTAACGTTAAACATGTAAAAAATAAAATTGCAGTAGCATCTAATGGCTAACCGCTAAGATGACTAACACAAAGCTGTTGAAGACTTGAAGACGTCTGAGGATTTGGAGATTCCCCACAATTCTTGTGACCTCATTCCTGGTTCTCCTACAGTCATTTTATACATCTGTAACATTCTTAAACAAATTAAGTAAAACCTTTGTTAGCAGAGTTGGCAAAATCTAATTTAGAGGAAGCTACTTGGTCTGCAAATGTTCGATGATTGGTGGAACCACGCCCACCACTGTAAATTGTTTAGTGTAGATATTTGGAGTATTTGTGATGCTTTGCAATTGTATTAAATCAAATAAAATGTTGATAAAATCAGATTAATATTTGCTTAGTGTTGAACTAATCTCTCTTTTTTTAGATTAATATTAAACTCTAGTTTTAACAGCTAAAAACWGTTCAACCATTGTTATTCCATCATGTATTTAAGAACAGCTGCTCCTTTGATGTGTACTGACCATCGCTGGTGCTGAAGGCCACGCCCTTATCGTCCCTCTGCAGAGGCGGCACGAGTTTTTTTGTGGACTTGGTCTCCAGCACTCTGCGGTACTGCATGATGAACGGCTGCTCCAGGCTGCAGTATGGCATGGACAACAGGCGCGTCATCAGCTGGATGAAACGGTTGTACTGATGGTAAAAAAATAACAAACAACACAAGCGTCAGATTCTTTAGTAACSTCAGGCCAGAAGAGGATAAAAACAGAAGGGTTGTTCTTACATCATCAGTAGAGACGTTTTCCACCAATAACACCTCCAGTTCCCCCTTTGTGAGCCACCTGCTTGTTCCTAAGGCACTGATGGAGACAGGTGAAACATTTTTGTATGTTCTTGAGTGGAAAATGATTTGGGTCACTAATGAGCAGTTGGAGGCAGCAGATGCAGGTTCACCATCTCTTTTAATCCTTTTCGACTTGTCATCAGCATTTAACACCATTGATCACAATATTCTCCTCAACAGTCTCTGACTCTACTGGGCTACATGATACTGTTCTTCACTGGTTCTGGTCCTAGCTTTCAAACATGTTGCCATCGGAGGAGACAAGTCGAAGAGTCAAACTGTTACTCRTGGGGTTCCTCAAGGGTCAGTCCTCGGCCCTATTTTCTTCACAGTAAACTTGCCAGTTCTTGGTCAAGTCATCAGCCACAGTGGAACATCCTTTCACTGCTATGCTGATGACACTCAACTTCACATTAAAAACAGCTCGTCACGCATCTGCTTCTTCCTCTGCTTCACCCACATCATCACTCTCCACACTCATTGCCTGTCTGGAGGATGTGAAGTCATAGATGAACAAAAATTTTCTCCAACTGAGACAGCTCCAAAATTAAAGCCACGTTAATTGTCAGTCTCCGTTAGCTGCGGTAATCTCCCATTAAAGCTATAACATGTTCTGGTCAGGACATCACACTCTCCTCGACTGCCACCAAACTTGGTGTCCGACATTTTGTTTGATGTCCCATCTGAGCAAAACCTCCCTTTTTTCATCTCAAATCACTGCAAGCCTCTGCTCATCACTATTGAATCTTTGTAACTATRTCACCTAGTCACGTGGGAACACCATGATGGATGTCAAAAGTGAGGGAGCAGAGTACTGAACAGACTGATTGCGATTGGTTTTCAAAGTTRTTTTTTGCCGTGGCTTCTACAACCCCTGGCAAAAAGTATGGAATCACCAGTCTTGGATGAACACTCATTCAGACATTTCATTCTGTAAAACAAACTCAGATGAAAAACATGATACAATAATAAGGTCATTCYAAAGTGCAACTTGTTGGCTTTCAGGAACACTCAAAGAAATGAAGAGAAAACATTGTGGAAGTCAGTGACTGTTACTTTTATTGACCAAGCACAGGGAAAAAAGTATGGAATCACTCAAATCTGAGGACAAAAGTATGGAATTACTCAAATTGGAGGCATAAAATAAGAACAAATGGATGCCTGCCTCAGATTAGATCTGCTCGTTAGTCTGCAGTTAAAAACACTTGCAGTCATGACACCTTGGAGGCCGCTGGACGAAGTGGAGTGCCAAGAACCATGACTCCAACAAGAGAAATGTCTCTTGAAACAAAAGAGAGGATTGTGAAACTTCTTGAAGAGGTAATTCTTCACAAATGGTTGCTAAAGACGTGGGCTGTTCACAGTCAGCTGTATCCAAGATATGGACCAAATACAAACAGCATGGAATGGTTGTTAAAGCCAAGCGTATTGGTAGACCAATAAAGACATCAAAGCATCAAGACAAACAACTTAAGGCCATTTGTCTTGAAAACTGAAAAAGTACAACTAAACAGATGAAGCATAAACAGGGTTCCTACAGTTTAAGGAAAGTTAAATTTAAGACTTTTTAATGCCAAGTGAAATCAAATTTAAGACCAATTTCACAATAAACACAAATGAAAAAAAAATTAAACTGTGGCAGAAACTCATGAATTAAAGTATTTTTGGTTGTATTACTTAAATTTGCAAATGGACCAATTGTTTTTATCCATATCTAACTGCTATTTTGTCAAATATAGCTAAAAAAAAGTCAGTTTTAAACAATTTAATTCCTCAAAATCCTCTAATGACCCAAAGTTTGGAGTTTTAGAACCCACGTGCCTGTGATGTAGTGCTGTACCAAACGATCATTTTCTAATCGATTAATCTAATTTTTTTGATTAATCAATTATTCTAATAACAAATCTAAAAGTTATTCTGATGTGAGTGCACTGGATATTTAAAATGTTTTCATCAAATTAACAAGAACAGTTCTTTAATATTGTCATATTTTCTGTAAGTTTTTTCATGGACACAAAATATGCACTCTAGAGTCAATTCTTTAACAAAAAAAGCTTAAAAGATTTAACATCAACATAAAATCTCAACCAAAGCATATAAAATTCAAATAAAAGAAATATAGTGCAAGATGTTAA